TTTTATTCCCTCCTAGTTCAGCTTTTAGCTTTTCACTTTCTCTTCGGTGCCTTGCTACCTCTTCAGAAACTCTTGAAAGTTTTTTTTTCCATTCATGTTGTTCTTTGGTGAGTGTAAAGATCATTTTTTTGTTCTCTCAAGCTCTGTTCTTCCAATATTCCATCATATCTCGTAGTTTTTCCACATTCGTTTTGGATCCCTTCAAAGGTCTACTATCCAACCTCAATTTCTTATTTTCTTAATGCAAATTTTACAGATCCTCTTTCAATACTTTTTGTTCTTTAGTCAACTTCTGTACTGCATCATCTCTCATCATCAAATCATATCTTAATTAGTTAAGCTGATCCATCATAGCCATCTTTTCTTTCTCTAATATTTTCTTTTCATTCTCAAACTCTCATTGAGCGATTTCAAAACTTGACAATACTAAAATTGAAATAAGAGCTGGCAACTTTTTTGAAACATCGACTGGTAGAGGCCTAATTTCGTTAACCTTTTTCATCCTTCAGGCAAGGTAACCTTCTGCAACATTATCTTCAAATCTAGCTGGACTCATTCGATTGATTTGCTTCCATGCTTTGATGATTTCACGAACCTTTTCACGTAACCGGATATCCCATAATCGAATTCGAATGAACTGAATCCATGAGTCATAGGGATAAACTACCGTGAGTCATATTATCTTTGAATCATAAGGGATGCATAACTCATTGCCCTCATATTCCTAACAAGGGTACCCATGACTCATCTTCACAACTATACAAGATGGCTATCGAAAGCATCCATGGTGCCCTCCATGTTACATCCTCGCTAGTGAGCTTCAGAAAGACCACATTTTGTCCAATCTTTTCTCCATTCTTTAGCCACAAACTCTTTGATAGGACTAAAATGAACGAAGAATAACCAAAATGATGTCTTTTTTTTCCTCAAAAATAGCTTCTGAGCCAAATAAAAAGTAATTTAACACACCTTATAAATCGTCATTCACCTTTTCTTTGACAAAAATTAAGTGATTTAATAGTCTCTGCCAAAATAGTTGATGAAAGATTTATTCCTTTATCTAATTGCTCAAAAAAATCAATCACTGATGCTTCTATATGTCTTAACACCTTAGAAAATATCATCAATCCATACACAACCAAAGCAAACACATCCAATCCCTGATCAGTTTCAATATACTTCTTTATGTACTCAAGTAGAAAAGCTAATGGAATGGTCTCAACCCCATTCTTTTTCTTTTTGTGCTTATCTATCTCTTCAGCCTCTATTTGCATGATTTTGGCTAACTTCTTTTTATATCCGATAATCTTATGCTCTTTTCAATATATCTTATCTTGATTGGTAGATTTTATCCGAAGTAAAGAAGAATATTCTTCGATCGTGGGGGCCAAGTCTTTTTGGTTGAATACAAAGCATCGATAAGATGGATCCCAGAACTGTATTGTGGCTCTCATCAGCTGTTCATCAACCTTCACTAACATAAGCAATGCCACATCCCCGTATTTCTTGAAAAAATATTCTTTTCTCTCTGTTCTTCACTGTTTCCAAATGGCTTCTAATTCTGATATATTATTCTGATTGAGATCCATATGCATTGACTGTGATAACACCCATATGTGACCATCTACTAAGCAATCTCCTTTTTTTCCCTAAATACCTTCTGAATGACTCTTGACCTCTAAGTAGCTCTTACACATAGACGACATCTTTTAGGTTTTCTGAAAGTTTTTCTTGCTGAAGATTGGTCCAAAACAATACTCTCTAGAAATATGGTACATATATGATGCATGCAACAAAATCGAAGACAACAAAACAAATTAATGATGTAAATAAAACAAATAAATAAAAATGAATAAATGAATGAACAAGTATAACATACCTCATAACATAATATACATAGTGTGCTAATTTAGGTAATTTTTTCGTAAAAAGAACAGTATGACTCTATCCTAAAGTTGGACATTACGACTCACTATATGTCAGGTTAAGATTTACGTGTCTAAAGGTTCCCAAACTATTCCTCACACATCGTTCATTATAGACTAATAAAGTTTCTCGATCCTTACCCATTACAGGCTACTAACGGAACCGGTTCAATCTGAGTGAAAGTATTTCGCTAGCAAATACGGAGGTTATCACTTCACGAGAGCGTAGCTATTTCACTTCCTCATAAAAGGGATAAAGCCCGGGTTTAAAGCTCATGCATGAATATGCAAAGTGTGTACAAAATAATGCATTTAATCGAAATACCATAAACATAATTTATCTTATTCATTAACGTATATATTTTTGAAAAATCAAAATAAAAAAGATTAAATAAAATGTCAAATAAAACCAATTAAATCCAATGATTCTTAATAGCGCATAATTAAAAGTTTTGGCTTGACTCTCAAATTAAAATCTCCAGTGGAGTCGCCAAACTGTCGTAACGATTTTGAAACCGGCAGACGTAAAATAATTTTTAATTCGAAGAAAATGAAGAGTCGCCACCAATCTTTGTTAGAGTGTGATTGACCACCCAAAAATTTATCTTTTTAATAAAACTATAAAAACAAATTTAAAATTTATCAAAAAGATAAATTTTGATCTACGAAAAATCAGGTTGGATCTAAGAGTCGGTTACATGCGGGGAAGGATTAACACCCTCACAACGCCTATAAATTTGTACCATTTAATTATGCGCTATTTTCGGTGTTGGATAAAAATGATTTCAATTTGAAATTTAACATTAATTCCCTTCATTTTAAAAAATACAATTTTGTTAAAGCTCTTTATTTAGGAATATTGAGAAAATCTTAAAATTAAAGAATCATTTTAAAATTCTACAACATCTAGACAGAATTTAAAATAACTATTTTCGCTCAAGATTTAACATAATAATCCTTAAAATAAAATAACAATCTTTATAAAAATAATTGTTAGTGACTCTCAACATCTAAGTAGAATACCAATAATTATTTCTTTCGAAATGTTATTTTATTTTATTTTGTAGTATCACAACTTTTTTTTAAAACACGATATTATTATTTTTTATTGTAAAATATTTTATCATCAAATAGTAAATTAAAAAAAGAATAATGCCAACAATTATCGATGATAACATGCTAACGTATGTATGCTAATAAATGTCATGTAAAATGAAATGCAATTTAAAAGTTGAATTCTTAAGTATAATGAGACCACCCCGACTCTCCAACATCTAGGCAGAGCTTAGGTGCGACTGTTTATATTTAAGATGTCATTTCATTATTATACTTTTGTAGTTAATCTTATTATTAATGCGAATTAGAAAATCGTGTGAAAAGACTCAACGAAATAAAATTTTCTAAATACCTCATCATCTAAGCGGCATTCGGGAACAAATTGCTTCAAATAAAATTTTCACACGTGTCCCTAAGATTTTTTAGGATGTTTTGAGTAAGGGCTTGAGTAGAAGTTTTAAAAATTAAGGTTTCAAGATTTTGAAGATTCGAATTTTAATAGTTTGGATTTAAGTTTTGAAGATTTTAGGGTTTGATTTTAAGGTATTGAAGGTTTAGGGTTTTGATTTTAGAAAACACGAACATCTCTAAAAATCTCCAACATATAGGCAGACTTTCAGAGCAAGTTCAATTTTTATAATCTCTTTTTTAAAAAAATTAATTTAAGAAACATAATTTTTTTTTATAAAAATATTTTTTAAAAAATTCTTTTTTTATGAAAACTTATTATCAAAAATATTATTAGCTTATTTAGTATTTTTTATAATAATAATTCCCCAACTTCTAAGGGAAATTATTATTTTTAAAATATGATTTAATTCCCTCCAATATCTAGGCAGGAAAAAAAATTATATTATTATTATTATTTAAGCATTCTTAATTTTTTTTTTTACTTATTATTTTACCTTGTTTTCATTTTATTATTATTAAAACAATTAAAAAACTTATCCTAACAAATTTAAAACTTATCATGCATAAATATATAAAAAAAAAAAAACTTAAAATAATAAAAATAATAATATATAAAAAAAATTAAAAAATTTAAATTTTTTTACCTGAACCGGATCGATCAATGGTCCGATCAACAACGGTTCGGTTCGACGGTTCAGTGTGGGCGATTCGGTTTCGGTTAAGTCAGAGCAGTCAGAAGCTGATGAAATAAGTGGGTCGCGGGTCGCGAGTCGCGTGCGTGGATCCCTGGTCAGGTCGCGGGTTGACGCGCGAATCCTGGGTGCTTAAAACGATGTCATTTTGGGCTTTATTGAAACGGGATCGTTTTGATTTTCACCATTTATATAAAATGTTCAAATTTTTTTTCAATCATTTTTCTTCCTTTCTGCCGAAAAACTTGGGGCCTGTGGGCGTCCATCGTGACAACCGCCGCGGACCTTGCCGATGGCGAGCTTCGATCGTCTTCGTCAGTGTCGAAAAATTCCAAAAAAACTCTTACAAACTCCTCTCAACCCCCTGAACACAAATCCGACCTTTTCACCAAAAATAGTCCTAAAATCCTCATATCTGCTGGTGAAGCAAAAAGCTCGGTGCTGGAAAGGACTGTTTGATTTTTTTTATATTTTTCTTTTTTTGGCAAAATCTCTCCCTCCTTCCCTATTTTCTTCTTTGGTTTGGCTAAGAGCTCTATTTATAGAGCTCCGGCCGTGTGTGTTTGAGGGAAGAGCATGAAAGTCGACATGAGGTGTAAGCACGAGCCCCATGCCTCTTTTATTTTTTTTTTTTGACAACATCTGACAGTGGTAGGATTAGATGATCAGAGGGGTAGGGTATGGTAAGGGATGGATGTAGGGCCTGGTGGCAGTGGGGCTGTCATCCTCAATTTTTTCTATTTTTTGTTCTTTTTTGTTTTGTATTTTTTTTGTATTTTGTATTATTTTTTGTTTTTTTTTTTTTGTATTTCATATTTTATATTTAATAATATTTTTTTTATTTTTTGGGACAAATTTGATGTCCACAAGTATATATAATTTTAAAGGAATGAAAAATGAACAAGTTTGCTTTGCTTGCTTAATTTTGACAAACTGATTTCAACTAATGAAATCAAGAGCTACTCGGTCAAAAAACGCAGTTCTAGATTATTAACTAATAAGAGAACAATTTGTTACCTTAGCTAAATTTGTTTTTACAAGGTCTTATACTCATGTTCCATGGCATTTTACAGGAGGATGTGATTGATAAATTATCACTTGAGATACCCAAGAATAATCTTTGACAAATTGTTATTTTGACCCTTGGAGCAGGTAATCAAAGAAAACTGGATTGCCAGAATTGTAACTAGGGAAGAAGTTAGTGACAAAGTCACTGCCTACTGCATATCAAACCTGATGCTCTTTGAAGACGACGGGAAAGGGTTTTGTTGTAAAGTTCTCTAGTAGACCATAGCAAAGAAAATTTGTACCCTGCTTCTAACGATGAAGCTTTGAAGACCATGAAAGTGTAGTGAGGGAATCTAAAGCTCCTAGATTATAACTGTTTATCAAACAGTTTCGAATATGCAAATATCAGAAGTTCAGAACAGCGACGAGTTTTAGTGCAAAAGCAAGAGCTGTATCCAAATACTGAACGAAATGCATTTATTTTCTTTTAATTATTCTCTCTGGCATTACTCTGTTATCATATTGTCTTGTGTTTGATTATAACATGGTCAATGATCGGTTACAATTTGAATCATCTATATATCAACGCATCAGATAAGAACAAGTTCCGATACTGAATCAGATAAACTAAGACACATGAATTCACTCCAAAAAAAAAATGGAAAAGAAAACAACCAAATAATTCAACAAATTCTAGAAACATATTAATCTTTTGAAGACAAGCTTAAAATAACAATCTGTGACGGTGAAATGATTTTGATTCATTGATCAGATTCAAGAGATTGAGCAATTAAAATGTTTCAACTTAATAGGTACAAAAAACTAAATCTTGAAACAACAATATATTCACACCAACAAAATTTTCAATCAACAATTTACTCATCTAAATGCAACACAAACCCTGCAATTCTAGTTATCTACCAAAAGAAAGTTCAAATCACTAGCAAGAATTCAAAGGCAACCAACCTTTAATCACTGTACATAGCTCCTCAGTCCTCAGCAAGATCAACTCTGGAGTCCCCCATCCTAACGCCCAACCAACAAGCTCCCCCTTGTCCCTACCCTCCAAAAAATGAGAAAAATCCACCTTTTTTGGGCTCCTCAACCATAACGGCCTTCATACTATCCTGCTCAACAAGCCTCCAAGCAGCCTGCTCAAACGCCAATCCAGCAAGCGTGGGCGGCTTATTCAGAACAAGCGGATACCCTCTATTGGTGCTTCTAATAACCTCGGAGTCCTCGGGAATCACCCCTAACAATGCCAACCCCAACATCTCTTGCACATCCAAAACCGACATCATATCTTCTCCCTTTATCATATCCGTCCTCACTCTGTTCACTATCATCTTTATATCCCTTATCCCATCACATTCTAACAGCCCCGTCACTCTATCCGCATCTCTTAAGCTAGTTATGTCCGGCGTCGTCACCAACACCGCCTCGTTTGCTGGCGTTATTGCCGTTATAAACCCTGCATCAATCCCCGCCGGACAATCTATCAGTATGAAATCCGGAGACCCTTCCTCACGCGCTTTCAGAGCGTCGACTAGCCAAACCAACGCTTTCCCACCGAATCCGATGGGGAGTTTCGATCTGGGTTTGGAAATGCAAAGCAATTGGAAGTTTGACCAGCGCTTGTCTCGAACCAATGCCTGGTCCAGTCGGCAATCACCATTGAGTACCTCCACGACCGTGTAATTCACACGGTTCTCGAGACCTAAGAGGAGGTCTAGGTTACGGAGGCCAACGTCGGCGTCAATGGCCACTACGGAGAATCCGAGGCGGGCTAAGGAAAGTCCGACATTGGCAGTGGTTGTGGTTTTGCCGACCCCGCCTTTTCCGGATGTTATAACAACCACGCGCGGGGTCTCGCCCGCCAGCTCAGGCTTTCTATTCCATTGAAGGACTGATGAAATCAGGGTGTGCTTTGATTTTGGGTAGGGTTTTGGACATTTTAAGGCTTGTGGATTTAAAAGGGGTTTAAATGAGGTGTTCAAAAAAGTGGGCTTAGGGTTTGCGGGGAAGAGTTGCAAAGAAAACATTGCTTTTTAGGGTTTTAGGAAGAAGAAGAAAGAAAATCATTTGATTTGGAACAGAGGTAAGTGAGAAATCAGAAATCAGACTAACAAATGGTATTTGGGCCTCCTGGGCTCAGTCTTGAAATTTAATGGGCTTTTACCCAAAGAAATTCGGCTCCGGCTCTTGACTTTCAGTTTGGAATTTGGGCTTTTTTAAAAAAAAATCATGTCGTGTATCCTTACGATTTTACCCCCGGAGTTGTTCATTACGAGACGTCGCCCTTTTCCGTGTCATAATTCGTTTCAGATATATGATCCATCATCTCATCCGTCGAAATCGGCAGAAATCTAATCCGTGATAGTTCCTGTCTGAGCCAATGGGGCCCACAAAGATCAGGGCAAAATTCATCACGTATTAGTTGCCAAGTGGAGTGGCATCAGGCGTGACAGGGCAGACTCCACAGTGTCCCAAAACAAAAACAACCGAAAAGAAAAAGTCAGATGTTACCCTCAAAATTCATCTGCCACGTTTCCCATTTCCATTGGAAAAAGACGACCCTTACCTTCTTCGCTACTCTCTCTGATGTCCGATCAGTTTATTTTATCCCTATTTTTTTTTAGTCTCTCTCTGATTTCTCTGGATCCAAACACGCACCTTTAATTACTGCTCTCCTCTTTTGGCTTCTTATTTTTATCAAGTACTAAAAGGAGTAGTGGAGGCCTCTTTTGTCCCTCGTAACTTTCTTGATAAGGTTAGATTCATCTATTTCTTCTCTCTTGGTTTTATTGGTGGTCAATATCCTTTCATTTTTGGTTCTTGATTTATGTACTTTTGATTAATGGGTATTTGGATCTGATGCTGATTAATGTTTTAAAGTGATTTATTTAATTAAATATGGTATTTTTACATCTTGATCGAGTGTATCATGCAATTTCGATAATGTTACTGTGAAAATTCAGCCTAAATTTAGGTTTTTATTACATACAATAGGACAGATCCAGTTGCAACTTTTGTTTGGTTTGCCAGAAAATTGAGGGAAAGTGACAGGAAAATGGAATAAAAAAAAGGGAAGAAAAGTAAGAAAGTTTTTTAATTTAAATAAAGTTTTTATCCTCTTCAATCCTATTTAGACGTTGGGTCAGAAAGAAAGTTTTTTAATTTAAATAAAGGTTTCATCCTCTTCAATCCTTTTTAGACGTTGGGTCAGATCGTTTTGGGGTTAAATTGACGGATGTTTTAGCAGGTGGGATTTTGTTTTACATATTCCCTACTTCAAGAATTAAGCAAACAGGTAGTGCTAGGATTATTTGTTCTTATTGCTCTTAATCTATCCAGTTCATTTGCAAAGATTTACTAAACTTTTGGATTGGTTAGTTTTCTGGAATTGACTTCATCTCACTTCGCTATACTATATTTCTAATTTTTGTCGTCTTACATTTTCATTTTAATTTCGTCTTAGTATTTTGTCTGATATAATTTATGATAATATTTTACACGTTGAGGCTCCGCATGTTGACTGCATGTTGGAAGGCTATGTGCATAATTGTTATCTGCATATGGTAATTTATATCACCATTACCGTGAGCATTGATGTGTTGCTTATCCAACAGTTCCAGAGCATTTTACATTTAAGTAACCATGAGTCCATGAACCACTTGGAGTAGCTCATCTAAATGCCCCTCTCGGTTTAATTAGTTTGTGGATGCTGGATAGCTTTATCGAATGTGTTGTTTAGGTTCAATGTATTGGTTCTTTTTATGATGTTTGTGGTTGATCTTTAAATTATCAAAGGGTCCAATTTAAGATTGTCTTAGTATTTTTGCTCATATTATCTGCCTCTTTATCTTTAAATTATCAAAGGGTGCAATTTAAGATTGTCATAGTATTTTTGCCCATATTATCTACCTCTTTACCCATGCATGTGTCAGTATAATTGGCAATGAAGTTTGGTTTTATGTTTTATGACTCAAATGTTGTTCCTCTTTCACTGCAGTAGGGAAGGCCATGTGAGTTGTTTGAACTGGACTACAGTTATTGACTTGTTGACAGGGATAAGTGCATTGTTTCTCTTAGTGTGCACAAGATGGGTAAATGCAATGGTTGTGGGAAATTAGGAAGGATGCTGCCAAGGGATGGGCCTGTGAATGCTTACAATTCTGCTCTTTTGTGTTCCCCTGTTGTTTCTGTTTGGGATTGCATTGTCCGTAAGATGAGATATTCCCACAGACCTGAGTGGGTGTAGTATTGGTGTTATATAATTATATTAGGTCTCAAATAAGAGGATTAATTAGAAATAGGTAGCATCAAAAGTTTTCTTTTAGAAAAAAAAAAGGTTAGAGAAGAAAAATGACAACTTTATAGGGAAATGTATACGATTTAGAGGAACTTTTTTAAAGAAAAAAAAATCTGAGCAAACAGAAGTCTGGGTTTAAAGCTTTTAAGTATTCATGGATAACAAGGCATGCAATAAAGTGCAACCAGTGGTGAGAAAAACAAAAAAGAAGCAGGTGAAGGATGAGTTCGATCATATTAAACGGGCTGAGAAGAAAAAGAGGCGCTTGGAGAAAGCCCTTGCTACTTCTGCAGCCATCTGTTCTGAATTAGAAAAAAAGAAACAGAAAAAGAAGGAAGAGCAGCAGAGGCTTGATGAGGAAGGTGCTGCAATTGCTGAGGCTGTTGCTTTGCACGTCTTACTTGGTGAAGACTCTGATGATTCATGTAAGATTATGCTAAACAAGGAAGAGGGTTTCAACCATTGGGATTATTCTGGCAATTTTGATCTATTTATGGGTGGAGGGAGAGCTTGCCTTCCCCATATGGCTCAAATAAACTGTGAAGGGTGGGTCACTAAAGCATATAGAGCTGGATACGAGTGGGCTGAGCTTGGAAACAGTGACTGGTCCTTCTCATACGGAGCTTATGGAAGGGATCTACATGCACCATGTTTTGCGGATGGAAGCTGGGGAAGTGCAGAACTTTCAGCTGGTCTTATTGCAGCACAAGCTGTTTCAGCACTCCAGATTACAGAGGATGTAGAGGTAGACACGATTGTCCTCAACGGGATGTTGTGAGGCTAGTTAAGCATTTTGTTATGTTGCCATGTTGCTTGGAGTCTTTGTTCATAATTCTGAATAATGCCTCTGTATATATCTGTCAGTCATCTGTTCTTGTTGCTTCTTTAGTATTGAACTTTGTTGGCCAATCCTATACGTGTTTTATCATTTTATCAATTGGTCTGTTTCTTGATAGTGTTCTTTTCCTTTCTCTTTTACGCCAACATGAATGATTTTGAAGATACTTGAGGCATAAATGGACTTGCTCTCGTTATCTTCAATCATTTATACAGATGTTTGAATCTTATTGTATTGGACAAGTGATTTAGCATGTTATTGATTTACTAATGATTTATTTTGTTGCTCATTCAAGTTAATCTTGTTTGTCATACCTTTATAAATTTTTAACCATATATTTTTTTAACAATTCTGACTATCATAGATAAATTTTGTAAATGAATGGAGAACAGGACTCTTCGGGAGTGTAGCGTGCCTGTTTCATGGGTTTTTTTTTTTTTTCTTTCTAAAATATCTAAGTAAAAATATCTAAGAAAAAGATAGAGTAATTATTTTTTAATCTAACCAATGAGAGAATGAGAAAGGAGTGGGTCAAAAGTTTGATATGAAAAATTAACAAAAATCACGTTTTAACAAAAAAACTATGATCTTTCTTTTGAAAGTAAACGTGATTTTTGAAAAGCTAAAACTTGTATTTGTTTACCCATTTCGAACGGTATGTTGCTTTATTTCTTTCAATCCAAAAATAATGTTAGTTCTACTTATATTATGTGACGAAAAAGTAAAAAATCAAAAATATAACCAAATAAAGAAAACGTAAGGATTTTAGCATACCAAAAATCTTACAGCTAAGTACTTTAGTAAAGTAAGTGTTTTGAATTTTTTTTAATTTTAAAAAGCATTATATTTTTTATATTTGAAATGTAGTGAACCAATTAAAATAATAATAAAATAAAATAGATATTTTTATATCAACAATGTTTTTTATGTGAAAAATGTAGTAATTGATATGATATTAAAAAATTATTTATGACATTTAAAAATTTAGCTTTTGTTGATAAAAATCTCGTTTGTTACTTTGAAAACATAGTTAATAATTTATCAAAAATCATATTTTTTTATTTTAAAATATGACTAATAATGAATTAAAAAATTAGAATTGAAAATTTTGTTATTATATTTTTATATCAAAGCGTGATTGATAATAAATAAAAATCACGTTATTTACTTTTTAAACATAATCTTTAAACAACGTTAAGTGTGTTAATATTGACTTGATAGATGTTTTGTTTAATGTTTAACATAGTCCTCAAACTTTTAGTTTAATAATTAAACACGCTTGAAAAAAAATTAAAGATATAATTTCGAATTAATTTTTTTTTATTTTGCACTAAAATTTTGTCTTAATAATGTAATAAAATAAATAAATGTTTTATTTAATTATGAGATGTGGGGCTCAATTTTTTTATTTAGGCCATCTGTAACATGGTGTCATATGCCAATCATATATTATAATATATTAATTTTTATATTTTACTTTAAATTTCTTTATTGCACATAAAACTAAGAAAAATGAACAAAAAAAAAAAAAAAAAGAAATGAGCTCCAAGCTCAAGCCGTTAAATTAAATAATAAAAAATGCTTTTTTTTCCTCACCCACTTATGTCAATTTCTCAATTTTGAGTTCTGAAAAAAGTTGAAACTTTTCATTTTACCTGGTAGCGCAAATTGTTCACTAAAGGTCTATTTTGTAATAAATTTGTTAATTTTGACGTGATTTGAATTGTGATTTGATGATTTAAATTTTTGATGAAATTATAAAAGCATAATTAAATTTAATATTTTAAAATATAGACCTAAATTAAAAGCATAATTAAATTACCAAGTACCAAATCCCATTAATTACATAAAAGCATATTTAAATTTATATACCCACAAGTTTTTTATATTTTATTTGTTCTTTCTTTCATTATTTATCAAATGTTATGTTAATTTTTGTAATTTCATTTTTTAATTTCTTTGATTAAAATGGTAGTCGTTGGAGTTAGTTTTGACGTACATTTCTTTTTTTTTTTTAATTTGTAATAAAATAAGATATCTTTTTATTTATTTATTTTCCTTTCATTTTTGTATTTTCTTTTCAATTCCTTTGAATTAAAGAAAATAAGAGTAACTTTACTTTCCTTACCTAAATTTTATCTGCTCTAACTTTTTATATTAATTATCCTTTGTCATCCATCCATCATCCATCCATACTATTAAATTTGGATCCATACTATTAATTTTGAAAGAATTGTTGAGCTCTCAGCCATCCACGTCACCCAGCTATTTTTTTTTTATTTTTTTTACTTGGTGAGCAAAAGACTCTATCTTTCTCTTCTAAATAGTTTTGATTTGTAAATGTGATTGATAATTTATCAAAGAATTTTTGTTTCAAAATATGTTTGTTAATGAATAAAAAAATTAGATTTTAATAATTAATTTAAAAATATGGTTGATAATCTATCAAACACCATATTTTTTAATTCCAAAACATGGTTGATGATGAATAAAAAAATCAAATTTAAAAAATTGTTTTGACTACATTTCTATGAAAGAAACATAATCTTTAAGTGATAAATATTACATTTTTTATATAAAAATGTAGTGCTTGATATTAAAACAAATCACATTTCTTTTCTTCGCATCTCTCACCTTTTTCACTTTTCAATTTTTTTCTTATTTTATTCCTTTCTTTTCATATTAATCTCTCTAACAAACCCTGACAATTGCTCTTGCTCATTTTACCTTTCTCATAAACCTATCACATCCATACAATAATCTATTGCATTTTTTTCTCCACAAGCTTTTAGTCTTCACGCAACAAATCTTCGTAAATCTTTTGATTTGAACAAAAATGGCAGAGGGGTAGGTGATTAACTTTTATCATTTATCATTTTTTTTCTTCTTTTTCCTACTCATTATCTACTATCAAACACTCCTCTCTTTTCTCTTTCACATCATTTTTCTGCCATTAGTTTTGTTTTTTTAAAGAGTGAGGTATTAGAATTAGAAAAGGTCAAAACCTTAGCCCTTAGGAATTTTCAAACAATCCCATTGGAAAGAAAAAAAAACGAAGAAGAATCTGAAGAAGAAATGGTTGAAACAATAAACAACCAAGTTTAACATAAAAAGGCTAGATTTATCATACCATTTTTTTGCTCATTTTCACTTTTTTCTTTCAATATTATGTATGTTATTACTAGGTTTTTTGCTTTTGTATGTGAATATGGTGAAAAAATATTGTCATATTTCTAACTTTTTAATTTCGACTTTGGTATGTCAAAATTTTGAGAGTTAATCAAAGATATTTTAACTTTAAATGAAGAGAGATGAAACTTATGGTTCTGAATTGAAACAACTCCTTTGATTTTTTTTTTCTATGATAAATATAGTTTGATTCTTGAGAGTTGAAAGTTTTGTTTTGTTTTTTTTTATGCATGAATTTTTTGTTTAAATCTTAAAGCTAGCGCTTTATAAGTTCTACATTTCAATCTCAATTATAAATGGTTCCTTCAGGATTTGATTATTTCATATTTTGGCTCATGATCTCTGCTTCAACTTAAACAATCTAGGATCCCCAATAATTGCGTTTTAGGGTTTGAAAGTTTTCATTTTTTGTAACCAAACTAATGTTTTTCTTATTTCTTCATTCCATTCTTTTAAAACTAAACATATGAACAATTATTTCAAAACTAGATACAAAATCTACTTGTTATCTTCCTTTACAAATCAATTAAATTAAAATAAAAAAAACTAAAATATCTTCTCCTTGAAAAATTATTTATCTTTCTCATAAAAGCCTAAGGAAGGCATGTAAGGCATGGGTTCGATCCCAACCATCCTCATTCTCTTAAATTCCATAAATAAAAATAAAAAAAAAACTCTTCCAATCAAATTTTGTCTTTCAAAAAAATTTTCTCATCCCTAAAAATTCACTTACCTCTATTTACTTGCTAACAGACACTTTGTTTGGCACTTTTTATTTTTATATATCTCTTGAATTCCTTTACCCAATAAATTAAGCACAAGTTATGTATTAAAACCCAAACAATGCTTGCCCATATCTTTAACACTTAATGTCCGGTGGTTACTCACAAGCTTTCATTTATGTTGGCTTTAAGGCATTCCCTGATGAGATTGCACCATTAAATGAGTGTCAAGAATTTGGTCTAAGGAGAATTGCTTATCCTAATTTAGCTTTTGGGGTTCTAATCATGATTAGAATTAGTTAGAGTTTTGGTCTGAATTAGTAAAAGTATTGGTATTCATGTTCAAAGTTATAAGGTAGATGTCGATGCATATTTCATTATGTTAAAATTTGACATTATATTCAATTAATATATATATATATATATATATTTCAACAGAGATTTTGTTTTGGTCTTGTGAAATTTGAAGTGGCAAGGTTTGTGCAAAATGTCATAAAGGTAATTATTAGTTTTTTCTTGTACTGGCTGTAGGCACCAATTTTGTCTAATTCTATTTTAAATATAATTTTTTTATTATTATTATTATTAATTAATTAACTAATAAAAAAATTTTAAAAAATCTGGTTTCGACTTGACAACTGAAATCAAGCTGTTAAAGGAGTTTTTTCTCTACTGACACCACCTAATGTTGTAGCCTGAAATCTGGTGACCTTTAGTCATTTGATAAGTTTTTTCACAAACCCCAAAAAATTCACAAAAATCTCAAAATTTATGAGATTTTGATATCTTGCTTAGCTTTTATAAATAAAGCCAAAATTTTGCAAAATGGAAAGATTAAACAATGACACAATCCAAAGCCTAAGAAAAAAAAAAACACAATGAACCAAGGGAAGGAAGAACAAGAAGAGAAAAAACAAGAGGAAGCCTAAAGGTTATGGGAAAAAAAAAAAAAAGGAAACAAGAGACACACAAGCACAAAAAAATAACACAGTCCTCCCAAAGGAGGAACTAGCAGCAAAGTTAAAAAAAAAAACTTTTTTTCATAACAAAATTTTTTGATTTGGGCTTTTTAAAATTTTTGATAAAAACTATTTTAGGAAAGATGTTTAAAATATCAAAAAATCGTTTTAAGAATTTTTTAATTTCTTTTGAAATTTTTTAGGTCGCTGAAAACTAGAAAATTTTGAATTTTCTAACGACCTTTGATTTTTTCAACAACCAAATTCTGAGAATATTATTGGACTCTAGAAAATTTTAAATTTTTTAGCACCGTTGAAGATTCTGACCTCTAATGCATGGTGACGACCGATCAGAATCTGGGTTGCCACGACGGTTGACAAGAGGTTAGATTTTTTAAAGAAAGAAACTTTGGGGTAAAGAGAGAGTGG